CACACACACACACACACACACACACACAACTCTCTCTCTGCCACACACAGCTGAATACATTCACGTATACGAATTGTCACGCACGCACTTGTACTCTGTAGCTCACCAACATCATCACTCCCTCCTGTGTTCATGCTGCAGGACCAACACGCAGCCACACAAACACACACACTCACGCACGCACGCACGTACGCTGACCTGCCAGCATCAGTAGTCTCGCACGCACGAGCTCTGCAAAAACGGCGGAACAAACCTGTGGTGACACGTGTGCGCATTGCGCGCGGCTCCAGCAGAATTGCTTCCAGTCACACTCATTGGCTACACACACACACACACAACACGCACGCACGTAAAGCCTACACACGCACATACAATTACCAAAGCTGCAGGTGCTTCTCAATCAGCCCGAGAGAACATGCGCAATCAAGGCGCGCGCACACACACACGCGCACGCACTTCTAGTGATCCGGAAAACTCCAGACGCATGAAGCGGAAAACGCAAAGATTCAAAGTGTCTCCATCAACAAGCTGCGCACATTCCAGCCCCGATTCAAAGCGCAGGGAAACCACGTTATCTGCGCACACGCATACACACTCATGCATGCACACGCACGCACATGCATGCACACACACACTCTCACGTGCAAGCGCAGACATCTGCGCACATGGATTTACTTTGCTGTCCTACCTTCCTCGTGCATCCGCTGCAGACAGAAAGTGAGGTTCCTCCGCCAGCCCGGCATGGTGATGAAGGAGAGGAGGAAGAGGAGGAGAGGTCTGTAGGAAGAGGGTGAAGATGATGAGGAGGAGGAGGAGGAGGAGGAGGGATGATGAAGAGGAGTAATGATGATGAAGAAGTAGATCCTGTCCGGTGGAGGTGATGACACGCAGCAAATATAACGTTTCCCCCTGGTGCTCCTTCTCTCCTCTTCCTCTCTGTCCCTCTCCTCCGGTGAGTCTGTCGGTTCTCTCCGGTAACGACCCGCTGACAGTCCGTGTGACAGTCGGTCCCGCTGCGGCACCGATGCTCTCTCTCTCTCCCTCTCTCTCCCTCTCTCTCTCTCTCTCACCCCTGGTTCATCATCAGTTCACAGGTTATTTATTAATGATGACATAATACAGGTGTGAGGATCTGTCTGTGTGTGATGAGATTGGTAAATCAGTATTTAGAGTGTGTGTGTGTGTGTGTGTGTGTGTGTGTGTAACAGATATGAAAATGTGTAAAGAAAAAATCTTCAACTATCTTTTCAGATTTGAAAATGTATTTATATATGTACGTGGAGATGAAACACTGAAAGTCAAGAAATCTGTTTCTGTTCAGTGAGTTTTTTTTAAACGTGACTTTTGCTGTGGTAGATTTTTACAGACGCCTTCCAGAGTACTTTCAAAAACTCTGGTCTCAGTGTATCTGCTTATACAGTACACATCAAACTGTGTCAAAAACACTAATGCTGCTCGTTTTAAAAGTACAAAAACTCCTCTGCATTGTTTAAAACCCGAACACGATGAACTCAGTGACTGAACAGTGTGAAGTGACACCACAGTGTTCCTGATTGTTGCTGTTCAATGAACGTGAGGTGCTGTCGACCTCGTGACAAACGTGACGGCCCTGGAGCTTGTTTTGATAATTGAGTTGTCAGCGTTCCCACCAAAGTGTCACCGAGACGAATTCCCTGTGTTGCCTCTGAAAGTAGAATTAAATCAATACACACTTTGATGTGCAGGTTGGTGGGGACACTAAGTAAAGACCCACTGCTTCATCGGACCGGCGTTGAGTGGGTTCTCTGCACTGGACTTGTCACTTTCAACTCTTTATTATCTGACACGCTGACATCTCTTGTGTCAGAATTGGTTGACAGACATTCTTGCTCACCAGACTGACTGACAGGTAGTTACTGTAAAGCTTCTGTCATCCAAGACCCCATTAAACAATCACTGGGGCCATATTTGATTGTGCATATTTACTTGTGTCCAGTAAAAAGTCAAAGCTTTGATTGTTATTGATACTGATTGGTATTTATGGCCAATAGTGCCGAGTCTGCGTCACGGCCCTGAGTCATGACCACTCGCTGCTGTCAGAAGGTGCGTTCGAGATGGGTCTGTCTGACTTAATCTACCAGGAGCTGCAGGGGTGGAGTTAATGGCTGATCTCACAGCGTTTGCTTTTTTCGTGACAAATGAAACAGACGTTTTGGAAATCCTTGAGTTAATGCAGGAAGAATAATGAACAACAAAACTGACAGACCACTTCAGCTGAACATGAACAGTGTAAAGTGAATATAAAGTGATAATAGGCCAGTAACATGAATAACGTAATCAAAACGAAAGAGAAAACAAAGAGAAAGACCTACAGGATATTACCTATATAGAATAACAATATAAGAAACATGACGGTGAAGCCTTCAGCCAATCAAAGCAGACTTGTGTCGTCACAGAGGCGGCCACAACGTGCTGCAGCTGGAGGAGAACATCTGTCTGACTCCAGCCGGCTCGCCCCCGCCATGTTTGAACATCACGTGACCGGGGACGTTTTGGAGCGGTGGATGAAGTCGGACAAACATTTTGAACGATCATGCATTGTGTTAGGACCAGCATGCATCACGTTAAGTCAGCGATAAGTTGAACGCACCTAAACACTTCTCACCTACACTTTTGACTACATCTGTTAAATGTACCTACCAAAGTAGATTCAAAATAAATATTGTCACGATGAGGAAATTAAAAGATGAAGACAAAAATGATGTGACTGGAGGAGTCTTTCAAACATGGGGACGAGTAAAAACAGATTTTGATGTAAAAATACTATAACATTGTTTTGAACTATTGGTTGAGCATCGGTGGATCCCTGATACATGGCTCCACGGTCACTACTGCACAGACTCTGGGTCCAAATGATATAAAGGTGAAAGATGGCAGCGCCTGTATCCAGAGTATTTCAGACACATTTTTGTTCAGAGGGCAGAAGTTGAAAGGCGTCGTCCATCTTTATTTCCAGTGTTTGGTTCTGTGACCTGCAGAGCTGCTGAGTCTGGAGTCAAAACAAACCCACTGATTTCTTTCCTTCCCATTAACGTTCCACAGCAGAACAGAGCCCAGCAAAACAACCTCTGTCACTTATATCCACCACACGTTCTCTGATTCCGGCTGTGTGGAGCTTCACAGAACGTCAGTGTGAAATCACAGAGGAGAGGGTGGAACGGGATATTCTCCCTCGTTTTAGCGATAGCACAATTAAGACCGTCACACCAGAGCAAATAGAACTGCCCTGAGGCAAAGGATGAGAATATTTGAATACACACAATCCCATATATTCTACACATCCTTAAAAGTATTCCGAGTACATTCTGAGCAGTCTGTTCGTAGACAGTGCGGATCAGATATTTGGACAGTTTTCTTCAGGCTCTGAGCTTCAGGACATTAAATCTGACATAGAATAACTGATGCTACTGCATGTGCCAAGTCTCAGCTTTAATCTGATTTGCTTACGCTGCTCAGTTTGTGCTGATTCAAAACGCTGCTGCTCAGGTCCTGGCTAATACCAGGAAAGTGGATCATACCACTCCAGTTCCAGAACTTTACTCTGGCCTCGTTGTCTGTGAAATAGCTGAGTCCAAAATAGCAGCATGGATTAAATGAACGTATGAATGGTTAGAGCCTGAGCTAAGAACCTCACAGGTTGTCCGAGGTGGTTCTGCTTTCTTCTTCCAGGAGGAAAACTAAACAATGCTGAAGACTTTCCTGTTTTATTTTATTACCATTATGATATATAACGTTCTGCTGTTTTTTTCCCTCATATTTCTGGTTGACACTTTTCGTTGAGTGGCACTATGGACTTTGATCTGGACAATCCGAGCTCTCGTAAAGCTCCTGCACATCCCTGCATTCACCCTGTTTCTTCTGTCAGGAGTGGAACCATCAGTAAACACCAGCTTCACTGCAGAACCACCTCCATGTTTGACAGATGAGGTGTTGGCTTCGGGTCATGAGCTCTAGTCTTTCCCATCACAGTTTCCTCTTTCCTGTATATTAAGATCATAAATAAACTGCCACACATATCATGTTAATGCTGTTACATTATCTCACAATATGACCTCTGCTAACAGATTTTATTTTCATCTACGCTTGTTTGTTAGTTAGCAGGATTATGCAAAAACTGAAGGGATCAGGGAAGAACTCATTCAATTTTGTTTTGAATCAAAGAAGTGTTTTGTACTGCTTTGTTGACGGATATTTAAAAAAAAAAATTAACTTGATACATAGATACCACTCTTAAAACAGAGTGTTCACTCCTGTACTTGGAGCTGTCCACTTGAGATCAGATCACAACATGAATGTGTTGATACCAGGTGACTATGGAGTTGAAAGAAACCACATTAATGCTCAATGAAAGGCATGGATGGGGATTGAACCCATGATCTTTGGTTTACGAGACCAACGCCTTACCACTTGGCCACCACGCCCGCTGACAGAGTTTGAGTTTATTTTCTACAGTCGATAGAACTTTGTTTCAGAACTCTACCACTTCCTGTTCATATGTTTTTATCACCTTTCTGTTTCTGAGGTTTGTGGTGAATCATCTGAGGTTATGTTCATCAAGTTTCCTCTTAATCGTTGTCAAGGAAACTTCCAGGAGAAGACTCTCGACTTGACGTGAAAATATAAAGGAGTTTTTGATTTTGACTCAGCAGTAAATCCACGAGGCTGAAGGGATGAAGTGAGGCTGTACACAGAGAATGAGGCAGAGATAACAGACTCAGGTGTGACACATTAGATCAGGGGAAGGCGATCACAGGAGCAGGAGAATCAGACAAAGACAGGAAGTAGAGTAAAGCCATTTTCAGACATGACCTCCGCGTGAAGCTGCCGGGTGATCATGTGATCATGTTTACATCACCCTGATGTATTAGCTCAGGAACTGTGGAGTCCAGTGCATGTCTGAAAGCAGCTTAATAGAGACACAGAGAGAAAGAGGTTTGAAAACAAAAACTGTGAAATGAAGAACTCTAAGAGCGTGTGCATGCATGTTTATTTAAAACTGAGCTCATTTGATTTTGTTAATCCGATTTCCTTAAGACAAACAAAGCACCAACACTAAAAGTTAAAAATGATGAATAATAAACACGTATTTTTATCAGTGATTTTGCTGGAAGACATCATCAATAAAAACGTCAAACCATCCAGCTTCATTAGGTGGGATAAGGTTTTGTACTCTTATTGCCCCTGAGGGGATTTTCATTGTTGCACACACACAAACACAACCTCACCCACAACCCAGTAAGACTCTGGGAGGGAGGGAAGCAGCACAGCAGCAACATTAGATAGTTAAGTAGGCTTTTCCTGTAATAGTTCAAAATACGATCCCCAACAACAATTCTAACGAGCCTGGAGCCGGGTGAAGATCAATGGGGGAGGGGCAGCAGGTCTTACTTTAGCCCCCAACTAAAGATCAGAAAAAACCTGCACAAAATTAGATGAATAATTGGAGGCTGCTGAAACTGGAAGTGTGTATGACGGAGGAGTGGTTAACCTGAGGCGGAACAGAAAAAAACACTGCACCATGGGTTCGAACCCTCATGGTTGAATGCAGCTATTGTAAGTCGCTCTGGATAAAAGCTGAATTATATGTAATGTGATGTAAGAGCAGAGGCTGGAAACCCCCTCACACAGAACATGAAACTGGGAAGAGTGTGACCCCTTGTGCTCAGTCACTTGAGGTACAGTGTAAAGTCCCCCCCCCCCCGCAATACACTGTGACTGAAGTCAGTGAAGCTTCCTGCATTACAAACTGCTGACTTCATCAAATGAACACACACAAAAAAAAGAACACATTCACCTTACAGTATTCACTCTACACCACTTCAAACACTCTCTCTCTCTCTCTCTCTCTCTCTCCCTGTTCCGTCACTGTCCAGTGACCAGATGTTACACTGAGGACAAATCAAACCAGAGGACAGACTGGACTGTGAATACTG